GTGGTGAAGGGACTGGCTGTGAATCGCAGGACTTGCCCTCATTTTTCTTTGGAGATGGTAGAAGAATAATTCCCAGAGCCGGAAAGTCAATTGGAGAAACATGCCAGGGGCTCTATAATGTCATTGGATCTCTGGAGCTGTTTCGCTTCAATCTCAGACTATCTCTTGTTTTCAAGAAGAAAATTCATGGAGGAGTCTGAATCTAATACTAAATTTTGAAAAATAAATTAAGCATGGTGAAATCATTACAAAAGATGAAAATTCTTCCATCTCTCCAAAAATTAGTCAAGACCTCACAGTAGAGTTTTCTCGTTCAATTCATGAAAGATTTTCCTGAATGGGAAACGTGCTTTGTGCTGTTCTAAGAAGTATATAAGGAAAGAAGTCAAGTAACCATTATAAAGTCTGAGTGTAAGAGAAGTCTTAAGGTGCTTTCTGAGGACAAAGATAAGAGGTTATCTTGAACCACTAGGAAATCCAGTCCTGCTTATGGAAACAAGAAATACCAAGTTCAGGGGAATTTACTCACCAAACTCAGATTCATTATCTGAAAAGAACAAATGTTAAGCCAATGTTTCTAAATACTCTTCCACATCTGACAACCTTTCCGTCATTTTTAGACAGAATCTGATTCAGAGGACTTGATTTTGTTTTGAAAGAAATGTGAAGATTAGGGAAAAAATGGCACTGATATCAGCCAAAAAAGATAGGTCTTTTCTTTTACTATGCCAACATAACCAATTCATTAAATAATTACTCTTCAAAAAATTCGAATAAATAACACAGACCTCTTATCAAAAGTCTAGTGGGTAAAAATAATAACAATAACAGGTAAATTTCCCACATTCTCATTTTGTTTTGGTGTTGTGACTCAGCTAAACATACAGAGAGAAAATATTACATGGGCAAAATCTTATGCATTGTTTTGCTGTCTTAATACCCTTATATATCTTACAGAAGGGCTGTCAGGTTAAAAGAAGATGCAAAGTATGTTAATATAACAACCAAGGAGATGCTACAGCACTGGGTGTCTATGTATGAGCAGTTTGTCTATATCTTCAGGTCTGCAGTGAGCAACAATAACGGCTCTCAGGATATTGCAACTCTGTCTGCTTCCACCAGAGATCATAATTGGGCTATGAATTTTTACAACAGGAAAGTCTTCCTGTCATAGACAAAGACTGATGAAAAGTTTAGTTAAATTAATGCCAAAAGAATCTCAGAACAGTACAAGTAGTGTACCTGGATATCACTTAAATAGGTAGGGCCTTTGCTGCTTTTTCTTTCTTCCTTTTTTATTTATGTTTTCTTTTTTTAAATAATTTTTTTACTGGTTAGAGCTTCTAAAATATAGCTTTTTTCTGAGGATTGCTCAACATACTGATTTTCTGCCCAATGACATGATATGTACTTTGAGGAATTCAAGAAGCCGATTGAGGTGTGTAGAGGTGATTTATAAATCGAAAGCAAATGGTAGCAGAAGGTGTGAAGTAAAGCTATTTCTTGATCTGCGTAAAGCTAATTGGGCACATTTCAGGCCAGGTCTCTGAAGGCACAGCTTATGAACTCTGTCTTCCGGATGCTGTGCTCATTACGGACACCCAACAGAGGACTGGCTAATGCTGGGGAAATCCCCAACAAGGTGGCCTTTCCATGACACTGCAGATTTACCTGAGGAAGGAGAGAGAAGAGAAGGAAAAGTAGGGAGAGATTCCAGGCAGCTATCTGCTCACAGAGTCCTACTTACCTTATCTAATTTATCTGAAACTGAAAAGTGTGTCTAAAGGCTATCCTGCTTCACAAAATCTCAAGGGACTTTTGTCTTTCTCTAACTTACCAGAGTTTAGCCACGCCTTATTTGTTACTGGTTGTTGTTAGAGTAGATTTGAGATTTTTTTCGTTGTGGGTCTACTATTTGATATGGAAGATTGAATACAGCACACATGACCTAAATACGTTTCTGGAACAATCCATGTTTGCCCCTGATGCTTAAACATTTTAATGAAAATCTTCAATAAATTTAATTATTTTCTAAATTTCATAAGCTACCCTCAATTATTCACACTAATAATTCCCGGCAAAATGAAAAGCATTTCATTGGCATTTCACTGTTGAAGAATCAAATATCAAGAAAAGAAAGACATCTTTGATGTCCGCAATGCTGTGTGTGAGAGTTTTCCTGTGACTTCAGAAACTCAAATAAATACATTGAGGAAGCAACATAGTGGGTTATGTCTACATAGAAACCTGCAAGTAGGATTTGAGGCAATAAAAATTTGCAGTAAGAAGTGATGGAGTCTGAATCCTAGAAATCCTCCTGCATAATATGGTCACGTTTTGCAAGGTTTAGACAGTTATAACTCCAAATAGAGGGAATTTTGTTAGGCAACTCTGCAGGTCTTTTGCAGCTGTGAGTCTGATTCCATCCCATGAAAATCATAGGAAAACCTCCTTTACCTCTGTCTCAGTGCTATAACGTGCATAGCTGTCCACGAGTTAGCTCATCAAAGGGAATACATGAGAAAGAGTACCCCAAAATATTCTGTAAATCTCTATAAAACTCTCCTTAAATTGATCTTTAGTATTCAGCAATGATACCTTGTAAAGAAATTTTTAATTTATCATTCAGATAATAGTCTTCTTAGACATAAAATCAATATATAATCATAGGAATTTGAGAAAGAAGGGATCTTAGTGGTCATCTAGTCTAAATTTTTAATTCTCCCAGGTAAGGAAACAGAGGTAGGGTAAAGCGACTTTACCCTGGCCCACAGCTCCATGCATGATGAAGCCAGACAGGAGTGCCAATCTGCTGCCATTGGCTGTACACATCCTCTTGTCTACACTGCACTAGGGTTATATCTATGAGTAGTTTTAAAACTTTGTTGATATTTGATTGTAAACGGCTGCTTTATTTTTTTTAAATGATAACCTATAGCCAGAAAATACACAAAACTGAGCTGCAGACATTCTTTCTTAGAATGTAAAGTATTTATTTTTTTCTTGGACTTTAGAATTTTTTCTTCAACAAGAAATAAAGTAGAAAATCCTACATTGTAATTCAAGTGCATCACACTTCAAAAATTAGAGTATTTAAGTTGGGAAAATGAGTTTACATGTGATTAAATTTTAATTAATGTTCTTTACTTAGATCTCAACAGTTATAAAATAACGTTCTTAGCCTAGACAAAATAACAACCCACTCAAAAAGACGAAGATTCAAATTAAATCAGAGAAGATTTTCTTTAAAAAAAGTGATACACCCACGTATACACGCTACACATGAAGCACGTAACAACTTATATTTGGATTTGTAACCAGAGTGAATATTGTACTGAAAATGGATGCAGTTGAACTAGTGAATTCAATCAAATAAGTAATCTTAAATAAGATGAGGATAATTTCCTCTCATCTGTACTTGTTCTATGTCTATAGAAGTCTTTGCACATAAAGCAAATTCCTTCAAGTCAAGTAAATGGTCCAAAATGGAAACACTTTCAAAGGGTGAATATACTAAAATAATGAACAGAAGAGCAAAATATAAAGACAGAAACCTTCTTTGAATAACGTGGGTGTTTTTCTCCCCAAAAATTACATGTGAGGGAAAATTTGGATTGTTAAATTTACTGGATACACCACCCAGTAGCTATTTTACCAGAGTTTCATTTTTAAAATTTGTTCTGTACTCTTACATCCAGCAAAGTTATTCCTACCAAAACGCTATTTCCATTGAACAGACCAACACACTGTTCGAGGTCACTCATAATATGCGCTTGACTACCTATTTTTGAGAAACAAGCTGTCTTCTCACCCAAATCCTATTTTTCTAAAGAAAAAGATCGTTCTATTTTTATTTCCTAATCTAATCAAAGCCAGCGATCACTGATATATTTAATGTATTTTAAAGGAACCATTGTTACAATTAATGTTTAGGACAAGCGTGACAAGCCCTGTTTTAGGAATTAACAAGGCAGGAGCACCCCTGGGACAGCAGCCCCTCAACTAGGAAGTGCTTAGTTCATGGACTGAGTAACTCAGATGAAGAGGGGGCCAGTCCTTAATCAATAAAAATAAACTCAAGCCTGCTTCGCGCCCTTCCCACTCCACATTCTGGTCCCTTCTGCAGGAACGTCCTCACAACCCATGTGCTGAGTCCAGTAGCATCTGGATATTGCGCCCTTCTGCCTTTTCTCTGGTGAGCAATGTCCAACAACCAGTGCCTGAGACTGGGGACTGCTTCTTGCCCATCTGCCTTGGGCAGGTCCTTTCTAGCACCCCGGAAAGCCAAGTGCTAGCGCATCTGGATGAAACTGGTGGACTTTATTATACCCACACGAACTCAACTTCCAAAGAGCTGCGTCCTCTCATTGATCCCCATCCTTGCACCAGGCTCCCAGGACCCACGCTATACCGTTAACTCCCTGCAGGCGTGGACTTTGGTAAGTCTGGCTCTCCGTATGAGTCTCTCTCCCCTGCAGTCCTTCCCAGCCTTGCAGTGTATTTGGCACATGATAGATGTGCAATAAACAAACTTTGAAGGGGAAGAGAACTTAAAATGTGAGGATTTTTCTGTGTCCAGGACAAAAGAAAAGAAAAAAAATGTGAGTACCAGAATATCATCATTAGTTATTACTGTTTTAAATCAACCTTTAGGAATTCCACTGGCATTAACCAGGCAGTTTGCAGGGGAATCCAGACTGCAGGCTAAAGAATGTCCATTGCTCCCTAATCAGGAGCCGCAGAGCCCGGGTCATAACCTGGGACAACCTCTTGAGTCCCGACAGGTGTTGGCGGCCCCCTTGGCGCTCTGGGCCCCCAGTCCCCCGCTGCCCCCTGCCTTGTCCAAGCGCTGGAGCATGCCCAGTGGCAGCGCCGGAGCCACCAAGGGCTTTGCACGGGCGCGCTCCGCTTCTCCGGGTTTTAGCAGGAGCCCGCGGGGGGCAGGGAGGGGGTGAGGGGACCCGCGGAGCCCGGCAGCCTCGGCCGCGCGTGTGGGGAGCTCGCGCGCCGCTCAGGGCTCTCTCCCGCGTTGCGGTTGCTCCGGAGATGCTAGAGCGCGGTACCCGGGTGCTCCACTTGGCGCGCTGAGCGCGGTGCGGGGAGCCCCCGGGGGCGGGCGGGGGGCGCAGACTGCGGTAGAATGCTAGCCTGGCACCTCTGGCACTGCGAGACGTCGCTCCACTGCGGTCAGGTGCCGCTCGCCCGCCGCTCGCCGCTCCACTAACTTGCCACTTGGTCGTGTCTGGTCTCCGAGACTCTCTACGCTTCGCGGTGGTGGGGGGCGGGGGGAGTGGGGAGTTACAGGGTCTGCGGTAGCCGAAGGAGGGATTCTGCAAGGGGGAGCCTGCCTGGTGCCGCTCTTCTTCCCCTCCCTATCGCTCCCCTCCCCCCACCCCGTCGCTGCCGCTTTCTCTTCCGCCAATTCGGAGAGCGTCGGGCGCCTGTGACATGCGATTGCTGCCAAGTGACGGTCCCCGAGTCTGAAGTGCCCGCGAGGAAGTGAGCGCCAACGCGGGCCGCCGGCGATGACAGCCATGAAGCAGGACCAGCAGCCCACCCCGGGGGCCAGGGCGAGCCAGGCGCAGCAGGCGGACCAGGTGAGAGTTGGCAGCTGCGGCCAGGCCCTCCCGGGGAAGAAGGCTCCAGTCTGCGCTCCCCCGCCCATCCCCCCCGGCTCGGCTCCCACGCCTCCCTTTCTCCTCCCTCCCCCGCCCCAGTTCCTGGCTTTCCTGGCTCATCCATGGACTCCGCAGGAAGTTAGAGCCTCTGAGTGCGCTCCGGGGCCGGGCGAGAGGATGCGCAAGGTGGAGAGCCGCGGGGAAGGGGGGAGAGAGGTAAAGGCTGGGGTGGTCCGGGGAGCCCAGGCGGGCAGGCTGCCGAGGGAGGGAGAGGTGGCCGGGGCCAAGGAATGGGGGCCTCTTGGCTCCTATTAACGTATGTTGGAGGAATTGCTGAGCTCCTGGAGGCGTCCACTTGCAGGGTTCGAGCCCCGTCTTCACGTAGCTGAGAGGAGCGCTGGCCACAGCTACTGGAGTAGGCAAATGACCTTTAGGCCAGCAGAGTTTTTCCTTTTCTTTTCTTTTCTTTTCTTTTTTTTTTTTTGAGGAGAATGGGACAGGGCGGGGATACTAAATGGGAGAAGAGGATGTACCAGGCATCTGTGGTCTGAGTGGAGCGGAGCTGGAGAGCATAAAGGGCATTAATTGTTATGAGGAGCTGGCTTTAGTGATTTGTTGGGTCCAGATGTGTTATGTCTGCAGATATGAGGTGCCCTGTGCCGACTGAGGGTTATTTCTGCCCCTTTTCCGTCTTTCCGCACCGACCACCCCCTTTTTGCTTCGGTCTTTAGAAATCTGTAGCAAAACCGCACGGTGCATCTCCATCTAGTCTCTGTTCCTGGATTGGGGTGACTCGGGAGTTCGGTGTCGCTTTTTTCCAAAGTTGTAGGGTCAGGAGCGCCTAGATGCCCTGGCGAGGAGGACGGAAGCTATGTTGAGCTTGTGAGCCAGCTCGAGGTGCTGTCACGTTTACGTCAGTTGGAGACTCTGAGCCAAGAGGGCTCCACTTAGGTCAGCAGATAACCACGGAACTAGAGGACAGAGGCGCCTGGGTACCGGAGATGGGCCCTTTGCCCCTAGTGCACTGCCTACGGCCACCGGAGGCGTTTCTGGCAGAGTCACTCCTATCTCATTGCTGGAAGTGGGATGAGGAAGGTGCAAGCAGCGAGGCTCCAGTAGCGGCTCTCCTCACGCATGTTCTAAGCACTGAGGAGCGAGTGAAGGGGAGCTGTCCAAATCTCCAAGGAGTGGCGATGAGGCGGAGGAGGCGATGCCAGGGCTGCTGTTATTAATATTCTAGTCTTGGTCATCTCTCCTGGCTGTGGTCTCTCTCTTCTCCCCTTCCCCCTCCTTCTCATTTCCCTCACATATGTTTCACACAGGTGGTGAAGATTACTCAATGCCTTAAAGCTCGCCGTCCATTTACTGGGGTGAATGTTGCAGTTTTTACAAAGCAGTTGTTTTCTTCAACCATCCTCTTTGTTCACTACCCTGAGATAAGTACGAAAATATGTATTAAAACATTTATATTGCATTATATTATATATCTTTTTCACTTATCTCTCTTTTTCATTTCCCCTCCAACACATACCACAAGGTAGCAACTGGTTAGCAGAGTATAAAAATAATTTCAGGAGAGGAGCATGGATTTAACATCCTCTTTCAGGCTGACAGCCCTTAAATTTTGTTAACAAGCCGCTGAGCCTCTCTCTTGCTCTTGGAATGATGCTACCAAGAAGAATGATTAGTCAGATGAGAGTTCCCACATGAAATCCTTGCTCACTAACCCTGTGACACCAGCTGGTTACTTGAGGTGCTGCAAACAGTTCAGTGACGGTGGAGGTGGGAAGGAAGAAGCAGAGCAGAGCACACAGAAGCTGAAAGTGTATTTGTAAATAGTGGGCGAGCGGTGCATGTTACAGCAAAGTCTTTTGTCAGGACTTATCTGGTCAATTAAAATTCATATGAAGAGAGATTCAAGCTTGAATCTGTTTTTCTTGTTAATGTGCGTTTTGGTTTATGTCCACTCCAAATATTCAGGGAGTGGCCATTTGCAGAACTCTTGTTTTAATGGAGTTCTTTTTTTTAAGTGCCTTTCTGAGCATTTACACGATTTTAAAATGTCAATGGTGTGCATATTATGCTTGAGTTAAATTCAAAGAGATTGATTTTGAAGAGGGAAGGAAAGTCAGCCTGAAATATACATGGCAGCTTCCCATTGAGGGTTTTTCAAGCACTCCCAGAAAATACCTATATCTAGTGTATTCTTTGTCTAAAGCTTGACTTATGAAATGATGGCCAGATAATGTGGATGATTGCTGTGAATGCTTAAACTACTTACTCTAATACTGCTAAGTATTTATCAACAGTATTAGTCATGGTGGTCTAATTCTGTAACTGTCACACAACTTTCACGTGGTACTAGATATAATAGCTTCATATTGACATGATTGACTGTTCAGGTTTCTATGATATTTATGAAAAAAAGATTCACAAGTTTAAATAAAAGTGTAGCTTTATGAAGTCCTACATAATTGTTAATAGGGGCATGTTCCAGCTAATCATTCACTATGTATTGATTTTGAGTGATTTAAGCTTTTGAATGTTGCCAGAAAGGTCTTTTGCTTTCCATGGTAGAGAGTTTTATGAAACCTCAGAAACGCCTTGTCCTGAGGCCATCAAACATCTATTTTCACTCACAGCACAGTGGAAGAACACAGTCTTCCCTCTGAGTGAAGTGGATATGGACCATCTAATTTGGCTGTTGTTATGGTCCTTTAGAGAGCTGAGCCTCCCTGTTTCATCTTACCTATTACTGTCCTCTGGCACAGGGTGCCGTGACCAGAGGCACTCCTTCCCCAGGGAGCAGAAGCAACAAGAATAGTGGGGACAGTAGACTTTTAATATTCTGAAGTGTTGAAAATATTTTTATCATCTTAGTAGTCTTTCCTTTAAAGGAAAGACTTCATTGATTAAATAAATGTTTATAACAGTTATTTTTGTTGTTTTCATAACACTCCACATTTATAAAATGTCTAACAATAAATGCTTTGATATAAGTGGCTACAGTCATTCCCACTTAACATGATCAATATCCCATTTTCCATTGAGGGATCTAAAATCGTGAGTGGCTAGTTATAACTTATTATTATTTTTTAAAATCACTTCCTGAATGTTTGCCATGTGCAAAGTGATGTCCTCTGGGCTGATAAGATAATATGTATTGAATGTGTTTTTCTATTTGATCCTCAAAGCAACTTTTGGAGGTAGGTCTTGTTGTTATTCCCATTTTAGAGATGAAAATATAGAGTATTAGAGAAACTAAGCAGCTTGATCAAGGTTGTCTTCATAAGCGGTGGAGATGAGACATAGCCCTTGTCTGTGACATTTAAGATAGTATAAGCTCATTTAAGTCTCAATCCCACCTTCCAACTTCTACACAATTACAGTTCAACACATTCCTATTAGCAGAATGCAAAATAATTGCAAATATTGTGTGTGTACAAATTTACCTTGAATGTGAAATGAATAAAGAGTTCATTTAAAGCTTCAACTGTAAACATAAACAAGAGCTCTTGAAATTTTAAAGTTAACTTCATATTTCTTCTATTGCTTGGAATAATATAAAAAGAACCAGAGAGATCCTGATAAGTACATGGGAACTTTAAAAAAATATCTCTTTGTGACATTTGCCCTTGGTAATGACGAAACTTTCAAGGTTTCTTAAAAGAGTACGTTTTTATACTCAGACCTGGTTTAGAATTTGCCCCCATTTCCACCAGGTGGCACCCTTCTTCTGAATTCAGTGGGTAGAACTATTTCCTAAAACGTTTGACGGTCCTCTCAGCTTCAAAAGAAACAGATCAAAACAAAAAACGAAAAAACTAAACAAAAGAAAAAGTAGAATCCTACTTTCCAAAGTATGACTAAAAATATATTTTTATAAGCAACCATTTGGCTGCAAAACAGCATTAGTTATGCATTTTCTTTAAAAAACTCATTCTGGTAGAAAACCAATCTTTTACAGCTCCCCATGTAGCAGCCTCTTGATGAAATAATTTATGTTCAAAATTGTGATTAAATATGTAATGCGTAAATGCCTTTTGTAAAGTATTTATTGTAATTTTGACCTTTACATAATATTAACCTAAAGTGCTTCCATGCAGAAATTAGGATACATTATTTTTACTTCAACTTTGGTCTAGCAAACCTGATTGAAATTTTCAAATGTACACTTAATGAAAACTTACAAAAAAGTTATTCTTCCGTGTTTCTCTGACTAATATATCAGCATGTCATAATTTAGTCTGTGAACTATTGTTTTTAACACAGAACCTCAAAAATAGCTTTTAGAAATCATGTTGAAAAAATTTTACTTAGTAGAAGATTTGTTACTCTCTTTCTAAGCATTCAGCACAAGATATATAGTATCTAAGTGGTGGGAGAGTTCTATGTGATTTGGTCATAAAAGATAATTTAGATTGGATACAGGTGTTATGTAGAAGTCTTTATGCCTTAGCGGATATTACACATTTCCTACTTTTCCTTAATTCCTTATAACATATATATTTTTATGTATATCTTATTACATATATATGACATTTTATTTACTGAGCTTAGAACATGCCACAAAACATCCCTTGCTTACAAGCTTCTAATCTCCCCATCTGTTTATTTCAGGGACCGAGCAAATTGCACATGTAAGAAAGATTAAACTATATAAAAACAAGTTAAGGAAAATTGTATTATTAAATATTAATGCTGCATTATCTTATGAAGTTCATTACATTGGAAACAAAACAGAAACCAAATTTCTCTCAGTCTGAGTAAAAACAAAACTATTTCGAAATTTTGGTTCCTTGAATCATTTATGATTACATAATGTTTTAAGCTTTAATACTCATAGACATGTTTTTAACTTATTTACAGTGTACTATGTAACATACACAGCATTAGAATATTGCAACTAGGACTATGAGTTTTTGTGCCATCAACCACAAATATTTATTTACTGTTGTCTATGGATTATGCATGGGGAA